TAGTGTGATTACCGTTTAAAACGGCATATTTTTTGCTATCATAGTATAAACACATTTCTGATTTCTTCACAGATTTTGCTTGCTAGCTGCCAAAGAGTATTGCTAATTTTCTTACATTTAAGTTGACTCATCTTTTTCTTAAAAGCAAGTGAGACACAAAGCCTAAGTAAATAAATCATGCCTTAAATTAAACACATTAATATGAAAATACAGTTAAGTGAATTTAAATAGTTATTTATTTAAATAGATATTTGAATAAATTTAAAGAAATCCATTGATTATTTTAATAAAATCTTTATAAAACCATATCCTCAACATGAGTACTCACCAATCTGATTTTTATAAAATTTTATTAGATTGACATATTAGATTAATATACTAACATACCTTTGATGTCATAATTAATATTAAATAAAAATCATAAATAATATGTAGTATTTTTTACTAATTTTTCTGTTCTTATTTCTAGAAGATGGTTATGAAATTCTCATGCATGTATACTTGGCTTTGTTTGGCTCCTTTTCTTTGAGTTAGAAAAGGAAACATAAAAATGAAAAAGAAAAAAGACTACATCCAAATAAAAACTCAACTGCTAAAATTACAAAACATATATTTAAAAAATATTCAGACAAGTCAAGTATTAAATCACATACAAGAATATTACCAGCTAACTTAAAACATAAAAATCATAAAGTCTCTAAAGTGAAGATAAAACATAACTATGTATTTATATAATTTTTAAAACCCAACAGTAAGACAAAAATATCCAGATAAATTAAATGTATGCAAGATTTAACCATTAAGTCTAACTTGACAATTACTCTTTCTCTTCTTTTTTCTCTTCTATTCCTTCTTTCTGAATTCTAAAGTAGAAGATAAACAACCAAAAGCAAAAAATTTTTTAAATATACAAATCAAATAATTAGTCTCTGTATAAATCATACATCAATTCTATTCTCAATGTCAGGACTTAAGAAAAATCTTTGAATTTTATATATCATCCAAGGTAAGTTATCCCTAGTTTAAAAAAAACCCATAATTTAAAATAATATCATTTGTAGCAAAGAAAAAAATACCTTCAGTTCAGGTTTTTCATCATCTTTTGTAGAAAGATCATCTGCATGCTGAGGAACCAAAACAAATTCTTCACTGTTCAGTGCAGTCACAGAATCCGATGACCCACTAACCTTCTGTAATGAAGCTCTGACCTCCATTTCAGTTCTGTAAACTTCTCTTCCCACATCCACCTGGTCAAAACCACAAGGATTAAGAACAAAAACTACTGAATAAAAACATGAACTATTAAGTACCTGATCAATCTTTGGCCTTGATGGTTCATGCAAAATAGAATTCTGCTGGCTAGATTATCTCAAAGCTAGGGAGGCTCCCTTCTCGGACTGGGCCACATAATGGAAATGTACTCTCTTCACCCTGAGTTTCCAGACTAAAAGAACCATATTGTTCCCCGAAAAACAACCCACCCATATCTCAACTAAAATTTTGGATTACTACTGTTTGGCTCTCTCTCTGTATCCCCTAGAAATACTGGTTTTGTTCTTTTTAATAAATAGAGGAAATAATTAAGCATAATACTAGAAGTGTCTACAAATTCACACACAAATAAAAATATATTCACTGAAATTACTTTATAATTAAATCTAAATGTCTGCAAAAACTTATCAAGACCAACTATTGTACCTTAAAATATTTTTTCTATCTCACTTTAGTTGACTGATTAACACAGAAATCAACACCCTAAGCCATGTATTTTTCTTTTCCATACACATTACCACTTATGTACAGGGAACAACAACAATAAAAACAGGTAGGGGACAAAAAAAAGCTTTCACATTGCATTCATGTAGCAAACGATGTTTCAGTAATTAAATAGCAGCGTGGTTGGTTCTGTTTTCTGGATAGATCTCTACACCACGGAAACTCAACATCCTCTTATCACTTCCAGAAATTCAAATATTCACACAACTAATTTTAACTGAACACATGCACTATATAATAAGACACTACACTCAGCACTGGGGTCACATGAGTGAAGACACAAGTTGCCTCACCTCCTGGAGCTTATATCTAGTGAAGAAGAAGCAAGTGAGCAAATGGGGTAAACCCAACTTATTTTATAGGGTATGAAGAAAAACAAAAGAGGTTGATGCAAAAAGAGCAGCTGTAAAGAGCACAGGAACAACTTTAAATTAGGTGTTAGGAAAGGACTCTCTGAAAGAGGAATATTTGAGCTGAAACCTGAAAGACAAAGAAGAACCATATATTAAACAATCTGCTCAGTAACCAAAGGGGTAATGTGACAGAGAGGCAGGACAAGTAGGCCGGTACTAAAGAACACAGGTCCTCGTAACCATGGTAAGTCTTCTGATTTGTGCCAAAAACTCCCTAAAAATGTTCTTTTTCTCTTTCTAATTAAGTTACTTTGTTCATTGCCTCATATAAATATGGCTGCAATATCTCATTTTGCCATTAGGTGACACTAACACCATTTCTTTTGGGGAAAAAAAAATTACTTCTCCCTTCCAAGTTACACTTCAAAAAATTAATTACTTCCTAATGTTATCAAAAATCAAAGTTTCTAATAATATTAAAATAAATAATACTGCATACTCCAAGGCTAGTTTAATTAGCTAGCCTTCATTTACTTGTTAGGCATATAAACATCCTTCCTTTTTAAAGCCATTCATTCAAGCACAGTCATCAGTCCTCTAAAGGCTTTTCTCATTTTGTGTATTACATGTTTCTGAAAATGCAGTATGTGTTAGAAGCCGTTTTTACCCTTCAGGCTGACTCATGAATCCCCGATTGCCAAGACATCACATATTCCAGGTGTCTTTTTCTGTGGCCTGTCCTTCTCCAAATGCTTTTAGTTGCCACTACTCTACTTGACATCTAAATGTTGGAAATGCCCCAAGTTCAAGTCCTGAGCTTTTTTTCTGATTCCCACCACACATGCTAAGTAATATCTCTCATTGCCATATATTTAAACAGCATCTGTATGCTAAAAGTCTCCTGAATTTCTATCCCAACCCAAATGTCTCCTTGAAATTCCTGATTTTGAATCCAACTCTTCACTTGATACTACCACGTGGAATTCTTACCAGTGTCTGAAATGTGACCCACATGGAATTCCTAATGTCTCCTTCAAAGTTGTTCCTTATTCAGATTTCCCATTTCAGTAAATAACACCACCTTCTACCACAGTTGCTCAAACAAGAGATCTGCATGTTATCCTTATCTTCATTCCTCTCAAGCTATGTTCTCACCCACTTTATAAGCCTCCTAACCCATCTCCTATCTTCCCCTTCCTAATCTACTCTTCACAGAGCTGCCAAAGAAATCTTTTGGAAAATAAGTTGGATTACATTAAAACTCCAGATTAAAATCTTTTCACTAAAATTCAAATAAAATCCAAACTCCTTACCAGGGCTCACAAGGCCTGAAATACACAAGGCCTCTGCCACTTTATCATTACAACTCTTCAGTAACAGAAAGTTCTTTTTCACTTTAGGGTCTTAGCTCTTATCTCCTAGCTTCATATGGCTGACTCCTATAGGTACCAGCTTTCATTCAACCACTCAACAAACATTTAATGAGTCCGTATCACATGACAGAAACTATAATGGGAACTGGAGATTATATGATTAGTAAGATGAGCGCAAGCCCAGTCTTTCTAGAGCTAACATTCTTATGGACGTGATAAATAAGGAAGAAGAAAATAAATCAGGATCACATACTGGAATAAGTACAGCAAAACGTGATGATGAGAAAACAGGAGGCAATATGGGCCCAGTTGACATGCGGACTTAATAAGAATAAGCAAACCACAGAAAGAACAAGGCAGAAATAATTTCAAGTAGAAGAAATAGCAAATAAAAAGGCAAAGATGTAAGTAAAGGCTTACAGGAACGGAAAAGAGGCCAGGATAGCTATATAATGAGTATGGGTGACAATACAGCCGTCCTTCAGTAACCATGGAGGATTGGTTCTAGGACCCGCCACAAACACCAAATCCATGGATGCTCTGAACCACTACATTATATAGTCTCTTCAAGTCTCTTCATCTGTTCCTTGAGACCCAGAGTTGGTATCAACAGAACATCTCTATGCACAGTGAACTTTCTCCACATCTCTCCTCCATCAAAATTTATCTGTCTCTCCCCTCAAAGCTTTCTTCTTAAATAAAGGATAGTTAACCTGATAGTTAATTCTGAATTAGCTTGTTAATGAATACTAATAGTTGCTCAATTTAAATAAGATGTCCATTTTTAACAGAGGTTTTCTTTAGCCCAAGAGAATGTCAGATATTCTGCCAGGCTAACTAGAAATCTATTAGTATATCATATGTAATTTTGTGACCTCTTCAGAACACAGGCCAGCACTTCTCATTCTACTCAGAATTATGACAGCTGTCATTACAAGCATAAAAACTCCTGCCTTGAAGGGCCTTAAGGATACTCTCATAAGTTTGCCTAATGCTACCTTACTGAATTGGGCATTGCTCTGAACTCAATACAAAGATGACATACATGCTTATCAAATTTACACACAAACACAAAAATTTGGGAAAGCAAAGTCAGTATTTTAAAATATTTCTACTGGTAAGTAGTAAGATTTAAAAGAGAAAAGAATAGTCTTTTCAATAAATGTTGTTGGAACAATTAGATATCTACACGGAGAAGAATGAAGCTGGACCCCTACTTCACACCATACCCAAAATTTAATTCAAAATGGATCATAGATGTAAATCTAAGAACTATAACTATAAAACCCTTAGAAGAAAACATAGGAGTAAATATTCATGGACTTGGGTTAAGCAATGGTTTCTAATATGACACCAAAAGCACAAGTGGCAAGAGGAAAAAAACTGATAAATTGGACTACATTGAAATGATACCATGAAGAAAGTAAAAATAAAATCCACAGGTTGGAGAATTTCTGGTCAAGATGATGGAGTGGTAGGACCACAAGCTCACCTCTTCTTGCAACTACAACAAAACCCCAACTGACTGCTAAACAACCATCGAAAAAAAAGACTGGAACCAAGCAAAAAGTTCTTCTTCAACTAGAAACATAAACAGGGAACCAAAGCAGGATGGTAGGACAAGTGTACACGTGATATAATCGAGCCCCAAACCACCTGGGTGGGTGACCCACAAGCTGAAGAATTAAGTCACAGATGCCCTCCAACAGGAGTTAGCCTTCTAAGCCCCATGTCAGGCTCCCCAGCTCGGGTCCCGGCTTTGGGAGGAGGAGGAGACCCCTGGACATCTGGTTTTGAAGGCCAGTGGGACTTCACTCCAGGAGCCCCATGGGACTTGGAGAAACAGAGACTTCATTCTCTTAGGAAGGGTACACAGAATCTCATGTGTGTCAGGTTCAAGGGTAGAGGCAGTGATTTCATCGGAACCTGGGCCAGGCCTGCCTGCTGGTTTTGGAGGGTCTCCTGAGGAGGTAGGGGACGGTTGTGGCTCACTCAGGGGACATTAAAGCTGGTGGCGGACACTCTGGGAGTGTTCATGTACATGAGCTTTCCTGGAGGCTGACATGTTGATTGGATCATTAGACCAAGACCCAGCCCCAGCCAACAGCCTGTAGGGAAGCCTTAGGCCAAACAACGTACAGGGTGGGAACACAGCCCCACCCATCAGCAAACTTCCTAACCCACAAAGGCTTCTAGACATGGCCCTACACATCAGAGATCCAGGACCAGGTTTCACCCAGCAGTGGGCAGGCATTTGCTCCTCCTACCAGGAAACCTGCATAAGCCTCTAGTCCAGTCTCATCCACCAGGGCAGATAACAGAAATAAGAAAAGAACAATCCCAAAGCCTGTGGAAGGAATCCACAAACACAGGCTAGACTCTACACTGGGACTCTACAGGCTGGACTCTGCCTGGACCTTGGGTGACAAGAGAGGAGTGTACTGACAGGACGCATAGGATGTCTCCCACATAGGGCCACCTCTCCAAGGTCAAGAAACTAACCTATCTAAAAATACAAATAGAAAGATAGACAATATGAGGCAGCATAGGAATATCTCCCAGGCCAAGGCATAAAATAAAATCCCGGAAGAAATAAGTAACAAGGAGATAGGCAATTTATTTGAGAGTTTAACGCAATGATGGCAAAGAGGTTCAAAGAACTCAAGAGGAGTATAGATGCACAGAGCAAAGTTTTTAGCAAAGAGTTGGAAAATATAAAGAATACCCAAAGTTGAAGCATAAAAT